TCAAATCAGTTTGCAGGTATGTGTAAATATTGTTGTATTGTTACTTGGGAAAAAATCCAACCTATTTGAAATTGCTTTCTTTTATAATAAAACAATGGTCAAAATATTTTCTTTTGACTCCAAACTGTGCAGTTTTCTTCCCTTAACTCTGAAAACATTAATCAGCAAAAGAATTCATTTGATGCTAATAAACAAATCTGCAGTAAAAATTAACTAATAACTGTGAATTCAACTCAGAATTCACCAAGACCACTGGAGATGCAGAAAATAATTAAGATATTTAAGAGGCTTAGGTTGGGTATCAGGAGAAGTTTGGGCACTAGAAGAGGCTCGTCAGGGAAGTGGTCACAGCATCAAACCTGACAGAGTTAAGGAGTATTTTGACAATTCTCTCAGGCACGTGGTGGGACTGTTGGGGTGTCCTGTGCAGGGCTGGGAATTGGACTCGATGCTCCCTTCCAACTCAGCATATTCTGTGATTCTGTGATTCATGAGAAGTACCTTTTGGGCTATGCTTGTTTTCCACTGACCTCTACATAATACACAAATGAACAAGAATTATTTTCTGAATCAGTGTTAAAAGGGACAAGAGAACAGAAAGAGCTATGAACACAGCAAGGTTAACTGGGGAACCAACTGATGGTATCAGGTGATTCGAAGATAATTAATCATCACCCAAGTTCAGCTCTCCTATGGATTTCTCACCTGCTCAGGCTTTGATAAACATTACCACATAGATCAGGCAGAATTAAAGGGGCGTAGGACCAAGCCCTCCATGACATCAGTCAGGGCACTGGGAATGTGGGAGCAGGGTTTCCAGCACGGGAAGCTGTGCTCACCAGGGGAGCCCTTGGTGTTGTGCCAACCCCTTGCTAGCATTTAGCAGTGAGGCAAACAAGAAAAAACACCACAGGTCAGAGAGAACAGCAAAACAACAGGGCTGGGTTTATAGAGCCTATTTTAGCACCTTTTAAAAGGTGATTGTTGAGTAATCATAGACATTGAGGAATAGCACTGTTTCAAATCCTTGCTTATGTGCACAACTTTTCAGTAAATCCCTAAAAGTGCATTTGCTGTGGTCAGAGATTTTTCTGTAATGCTCCCAGCAGTTCTCCAAAGCCGGTGGGTCACTGGTGTCCTGGCAGTGATTGCTTTGCCTCCCCCTTTTGGATACAATTTAAAGCACTCACTGGCAAACCACAGCAATGCAACAGAAATGCTCTTTTTCACATATGGGGATGTTTTACTTGACTTGTTTCGAACAGGATACTTCCTAACCAGAAATGGTGTATCAGCTGCAGGATTTGTAAAGAAAGAGAGGGAAATTTGTCTGCTCCTTGTGGGTAAGTGTAGTTGCCAACACTGCCACGCTGGTCAGAGCAAGGCTTTGACGTGTAATTTAGAAGAACAGATGTTTTATCTGGGAACTTGTCCAGATCTTTAAAAAAAAAAAGACAAGCGAGAAACTCAGTAGTAGACTCCTTTGTCAGCATCATTATCCTTAAAAGTCCTAGAGAAGTAGTGAGTAAATAGCTGGATTTCTAAGACACAGCTGAGAAGCAGAGAAGATGTGTGATTATCTTTGTGAGTGGCTTACATTGCAGTGATGAACTTATTGGTCATGTCTGGTCAAATGGACTGAACAAAACTGTAAACCCTGGACATGTTAATATGGCCATAATTTTTCACATCAATCCTCTCTTCTCATTCTGTTCTTTTGAAAAGAGCCCAAGAGTGACATCTTTCCTTCCCATCCACTGCACTGTCAGCACCAGCAGAAACAAATGGCTCAAAGTATTATGGGACTGACAATGCATGAGACAACTTTTGAGAGACATTAACTACTACATTTCATGCAAAACTGAACTAATAAAGACTTTTTCCTCATAGATGTCCAAATTGAAAGGGGTTTTAATCTACCCAAAAGATTTCATAAGACTATTAAGCATGTAAGAAGGTATCTCCAAATTTATCTTTTTCATACTCTTCAATTACAACTCAGTCTTGCCTTTTCTCTAAATGTACTGTAAATGCCTTAGAGGATGTGCTGACAAAACTCTATTATCTGTCTGAAATACCTCTCAGACATCTTCTGCCTTAACTTCTGAAGTACTAACAGCTTATTAGAAAAATTAGTTGGTTAATGTCCATGAAGAAAGAGGAAAAAATGAATAAACTACCCAGTGGTTTTCCCCTGTTATTGTCTGGGTTGTTCCATTTTTCTGCTTCTGATAGGCTCCTCCAAGAAAATACATATAAATAAAACACAAACAATTAATATGGATAAATATACCAACAAGAATCCAAATGATGCCATTTTGCAAAGTTCCCTTTGGGCTATGCCCTTTTCCCTGAATTGTACATAATAACCAAATGAAAACCAATTGTTTTCAGAATCAATATGAAAAGGAACACAAGACTGAAAAAAAAAATAAATCTACAAGCACAGCAAGGTTAATTGGGGAACCAACTGATTTTATGAGTAGATCCAAAGGGCAGAGGGTTGGAATTAGATGATCTTTAAGGTCCCTTGCAACCCAAACCATTCCATGATTCAAGACCCAGGGTTGCTCACGAGGTGACTGTGGAGGGGAGGAGGAGAAGGAGGAGGTTGCAGATGCTGCACAGGAGAGGCCAGACTGGCCCTGGGGCAGGGTCTGAGTAGCTTAAATAACACATTTCCATGCAACTCAATTTTCTACACTACTACTGAGCTCCTGCAGTGGTTTAAAAAGCAGGCATTCCAGCAGAAAGGAAATGAAATGGAAATGGCATTGTGCTGGCACTGGTGATTTCAGAGTTTGCAGCACACTGTGCCTGGAAAACCACAGCTCTCCAGCCAGGCAGGCACTGGGGGACACAAACCAGCACAGCTCTGTCTGGGAGGCTCAGCAATAATAAAGGTGTTGCCCTCCATTACTTTTTGCTGAGCCAACATCCTGTGTAAAGCCACTGCAGCAAGCTGATAATGATGCATGAAATGGAAAATCCTCCTCAGCACACCCAAAAGCACCATGGATGTGCAAAACAAACACAACAGCACCGTGTTATTTGGTAATTGTTACTACATGTGCCCACCCTAATATATTCAGATTTTTGCTGGTTTTACATAGGTGCAACTCCACCCCTTTTAATGTGTTTACTCCTGATTAGCACAGCATTTAATACGACTGGAGTCAGATGTACAGCAGTATTCAGCTCAGGCACAATAAAAAACAGAATGCTGTGGAACTGAAGATGAAAACCTTCAGGGGGTGTCACTCCACTGATTCAAATCAACAATTTCCTCTGGTTACTTGCCTCCCTGACCTGTGTACCCTCTGATGCCAGGGTAGCTGGGTACATGGAGAATAAAACTACTGTGGGGTTATATGGGCCACTGTCACATATCAGCAGTAGTTCTTTCAGCGTTGCAAAACTTGCTGGAAATTGTTTGGAGAATTTTCAAAGTAAGTTTTCAATACTTTTCATTTCATCTCCATAGTCACAGTGCTACTCAAAGGTTTGCTGAAACAGCTGCAGGCAGTGGAGGAATCATAGAGAGATCACATGAAACACAGTCTGCTTTCTGCAAAAAAAGGATATTCAGTTCCTTTGCACCATTCCTCTGAACATTTTGACTACTTTGGAGACGTTAAATACTGGAAATAGCTTAGAAAGCATTTGGCCCATCTATGTCTATATATCACAAGGACTACCATATAACACAAGGATTTAAACCAGGTTTCAATCTATCCTCCCTAGGAAAGATAAGCTACATAATGCCAAAAATATCATTAGAGTGTAAGCACTGCACATAGCAGGTTCCTAACTTCCTTCCAGGGATCATTCCATACTGAAAACCAAATACTGAACACATGGCCTCATGCACATTACACCATTAACTTTGTATAATCAATCAAAGACAAAGTTATCTTACAGGGTTAGCTTCCTCAACCAGGTGACAGTGAGTTTGCCTTAAACAGTTGTTGAACTACAATATTGGCTGCCAACCACATTTGGGGACCTGAGCTGTGTTACAGGCAAATTTTTTTCTTCCATACTAAACAGAGAGAGAAACTGCAGAACAATCCCTAGATTTATCACTCAAACGTAAAGAAAGCAAGACAATGTATTCTCCTTAAGTGCAGACCAAGCATTCAGAGTTGCTCATTACAGCAATACACAATTTATTCTGTTATATATCTGTTGGCAAGTGGAGGAGCTGATTCCTCCAGTTTAATTCTGGGTTTCGACTCATGCTCTGGAGATGCTCAACTCTAGTTTCCCTACTGCTTCTACTAATTCTCCTTCCAAAACAGGGCAAAAGTAGTTTTTTTCCTCAACATTTGTTTATAAGTGTCTCAATTCTTGGTTTTAACATATCTAAACCCATGATCAGTAGGCTTTTCTTCTATTTGTAGCTTTTCACTGTGAAGTTCTGTGGTCTAATTTGAACATCCTGGCCTTGTAACATATCAGCTAGTTCATTTGCTCTTAATTCAGATTGTCAGCAATCTGATCTGGAGATTTCTCTAGTTATGAGACTTTCAAGGAGCTGCTCTACAAAATTCCACCAACACTTTTCAGCTCTTTAGCAAATTTAGGCAGACTTTTGATATATTTTTCAAAAAAATCTTTATTAATCTCCTGTTAATTACTTCTAATTAAGTTACCAGAACTGTAGATATTTCTGGTACAGTGTTTTCATATTTCATGCTTTCAGTTTTTAAAATATGCATAATTACTGTTCTCTGGAGGGGGAGAACTGGGAGAGAATTCTGCAATTCACACCACAGGATGCAGCATGTTCTGGGTCATCTTTTTTAAATAGCCTCAGTTATAAATATAAAACGTGTCTTTTTTTTTTTTTTTTTTTTCCCAAAGTAAAAACTTTAAAAAATGTTGTAAAATTATGGGATTTTTAATATTAATGTTGGAGTTTTCTCATTTGATGTATTCTCCCACCCTGGATGCCTGTGACAGACACAGAAGCCCCGAGCAAGGGGAGGTTTCCTCACCTGTGCACCAGCTGCTTGCGGCTCACGCAAATCGCGGTCTCGTAGTCGTGGGTGACGCACACTTTGTGTGGGCTGCACTTCACCTTCAGGCACGGGTCTTTGGATGGATCAAGGGCTAGAAGAAATCAAACATATGAAAAAACAGTGAGAAACGCACACAGAGGTCTCTCCCGACAGGCAGATGACAACTGGTTAGAACGAACACTCCCACACGTGAGTGAAGAAATACTTTGGTATTTTACAGTATGTGCTGCTGCTTTCAGACTGCATGGGAAGTAGAGAAGTTTACATTGAAAGATAGATGGAGAGCTTAAAGACTGATTACTGAACACTGATCTAATTGGTGTTCACATTAATATTAGACATGAGACTTTGGGATGAAGTTCTGGTTTAACAATCTATATCATGCTGTTTATTTCACAGAAAAGCTATGTTTAGATAAAACGTACTCAAATAACAAAATAACCTGTATTTTAGAAGCTAATAACTGATACAATGTAGAGTACTAATAAACTTAATTTCACGGCTGCTGTAAAACAGGTATAATACTTTTGGAGATTATTTTTTAAAATTTTACAGCTAAGTATCCCCTGCATTTAAAATGCTTGAGTAGAAGAGCTACAACAAAATAATCCTGGCTTTCATACAACAACCTGCACCACCAGCAGTGCTGTCAGAGTTCGGATTAGACAACATGATGCCTTGCCATCTCAGAGCAAACATGTCCAGGCTCTTGTCCCATTTGAAAGGTATCTGTCTAAAATCATTCTTCTACAAAAGAAGGTTTCTAAAAATCAGCAATAAGACATTTTCTGCCAAAATGAATTACAAGTATTCAAAATATGGTTATGTGAACATGTCAGAAAGAAAGTCACTGCCATAGCAGTCACACAGAGAAATTTCACTTTTGTTTGAGAAGTAATTTTTAGAGAAGCTCTTTTTGGACATTCTGTTGCCATGGATTTGACTTCTGTCCCTCTTCAATGTCTTTAAATCCCATTTTCGCTCTCCCATATCTCCTCACATCTTGGTCCATTCTTGGAAATGGGCAACTCTTGGTTTCATTTTGGGGATGGTATGAAGCTTCTACTTGCCTTTTCTGATAACCATTTCCCATTCCTAGTGAACAATCAGAGAAACTTTCAAAGGAGACTATTTGAAGTAGAAGAAGTTTCAGTTTGCTATGTACCAAATTTCTCTGAGAGCAAATATATTTCCAACAAGCAGAGGATTCTTCTGTTTTACTTTGGGTTTGAAGTGCTGCAGCTGTTCTTTGCTGGGTTAAACAGCCACAGCTACAAGCTTCTGCCACATTAACACCCATTTCACATTTGTGATGGGCAATTAAGCTTCACTAGTGCATATGTATTTACTGGAATGCCTTTGGTGCAAGACAGGGTGAAATCGTAAAAACAAAGCAAAAGTGTTAAAAGCTTTTTCTTTTAAACCATTAAAACTGATAGAAGAGGTGAAGTGAACAAGGAAGGAGAAAAGACCATCTGTTTCCTACACCATAAACAATAAGGCAGCAACATTCAATGTGTTGCCATTAAGAAAATACATAGGCAGTATTTGAGGAGACAGAGTCTGTCCCACTAGAAAGACTAAAGGCTGTCAAGGCTCTTCAGGGATGTTTTGCTGCTGCCTTTTGGTGTCTTTTTAAAGCCAGACAGATGAGAAGTATCCGATCCCTGCCCTTTACATTCCCAGAACACTAACAGTGAGAGAGACACCTTCGTAATCCTCTTACTTCACTCTCACTGGAGACTGAGTTAAGGACTGAGGCAGATCTTTGACTGGGATTTAAATGGCAAGCCACAGTTTCCTGAGCTGGCTGTCTACCTGGATATTCTTAAACTGCAAACCAGTGAAACACCTTCCTTCTGCAAAGCTTTTAATGAGTGAGCACCACTTGGAGTGTGCAGGGTCACCACATCATCATTTCAGTGGCTGAGGTAGCTACAAGGTCATAGCCACACACGAATTTAATGACCAGAACTTTTGCCCACTTGCAGCTGGCTTTGCCCTGTTGCTGGAGCCCATGCACGTTGTTTGCTTCTGCTGGTGACACATCCTTGATGCAAAGTGCTGCATCAACAAAAATCACTGAGCAAACTGGCTGGGAGCCCAGGGCTAAGAGCTGCCAGGAGCACTGGGCTGCTGGTGAGCACAGCCTGGTCTGCTCACTGTTCTATCAGCCAAAACCTGAGGAGTGGGGATGGAGCTTTAGCCTGGAAAGTCAATACTAGTTTGGCATGAATAAGGGGCAAAATTTAGGCCCACATGGTCTATGAGACATCATGCACAGCTACAATACTTAGCATTTTTTCACAGTAAAATTTACTCTAATTGGTGAATCCATTCCAGGAGCTATTTAGGTCTTCTAAGGCAATAAAAATGCATGCAGTTCTGAAATAGCATAACACTGTACATTACTGGTAAAAGGAACACAGATTTCAATATTTTGTCATTTAAAAATTGCCTATTTTAAATGAAAAAACACTGTTGAATAATCACCAGGAAGGAAAGCAATGGGAAAAGATGTGGTTGGAAATCCTAGCCACCATTTCCTTACAAATCAGGCCTCAACTTTCTATACCTCGCTGACTTGCTTCTAAAATCGGAGAACAATAACAATGTTGACAATAAATCCTCCTGATTTCACCAAATATTGAGAACTCTACAATTTCATGATCACTGTGCCCAAGTGGCCTCCAACCACCACATCTCCCACCAGCCCACCTCTGTTTGCAAACAACAGGTCTAATGCAGTCCCTCACTGGGACTGGTGGGCTGGTGGGCTCACCCACCAGCTGTGACAAAAATTTGTCCTCTACACACTCTAAAAATGTCCTGGACTGCCTCTTTTCTGCTGTATTAAGTTCCCAGCAGATGTCTGGTTAAAGTCACCTACAAGAACAAGGGCTGGTGATCCTGAAACATTCTCCAGCTGCTTATAGAATAAGTTGTCCACCTCTTCTGCCTGGTTGGGTGGATGATGACAGACTCCCAGGAGGATGTCAGCCTTTTTGGCCTCTCCTCAATTCTCACCCACAGGCATTCAACCTCACTGTCATTAATTTCCATACCCATGGCATCAAAAGATTCCCCAACATAAAGGGCCAGTGATGGAAAACCTCATGGAAACCCTTAAATGGAACACGTAATAGAAGCATCATTTATTATTCATTACAAGCAGCACTTACCTGCAGTTCAAAACAGAAGTTTATTAAATACAAGCAGAAGTGTGGACTTTGTCAGAAGACAGCAAAACCCCCATGATGTGGATTGTTATTTCTGGAGATTTTATTCCCACTTACACAAAATACATGATCAATATGAACAGAAAAGTTCAAAGTAGGGATTTATATGTCTGCAAAGTTCCTCAATATGTTAAATACATTTGGAAGGTTGTTCCACTTCTAAGTAACACAAGCCCTAAGGAGAGCTTGCAATAAGAAACAATTTCTGAAATATGCTAATCAAAGATCATGCTTTGTTAATCAGATTTCTACATGACTAGGAGCAGATGCTCATCACTGGAAGAAGAACACACCCTTGGGAATAAGATGAAACATAGCAACCATATTTGTCATTACAGCTCTTTTTGTCCTAAAGCAATGAGTATGAACTCTGTGAAAATGAAGAGCTAAAAGTACAAATAAATAAATAAAGTGACAAGAATACGTTGCTTTATCAGCTTGAAAGGAAAAGTACAGCCATCCCTTCTCCATGTCAGGGAGTCCGCACTCAGCTCTGGCTGCACAGTAATAACACAAATACCTTAAGCCTGGCTTTGAGATGTGAACATGTTCCCACTTTTTCTTTAGGCTGAGTCTGAAGGTGAAACTGATGTGATTAATTAATCTAATTTTAGAGTGGCTGAGCATTCATTCAACATTTATGTTGGAAGGTATGTGTCCAGTCAGTACTGGACAAAAATTCTTTGATGAAAACCAACTTCAGTCATCCTACCTATTGTTTTTTGAGCCCAGGCTCCATGGTTTCCTGTTCTGGGAATTTCCCATCAATACTGGGTCTCCAATGGAAGGATCCATCCCAGGAGGCAGTTGCCTGAAATATAGTACTGGACATCTCAGTATATAATTTTCAGAAGATTTTTTTTCTTGGAAAAATGTAGGCTATTAGAAAAATTTCATCTTGGGTCATGAATCTCTTCCTCACACATCCACAGGTTTCTGTTGCTGGCATTTGCTTTCTGGGAAGCTGTACTGGTACTCAGAGCTGAGAAGTCTCTTCTCAAATTGACAGTGAAAGAAAGAAGTAAACAGAGATGCAGAATTCTTGTCCTGTAGCTTTTTTTTTTTTTTTTTTTTTTTTTGGTTTTGCTTTTATTATGCAGGGACACCTCCTAAGCTCTCTCTTAAAATGATAAATCTTCTCTGGTAATCTCAGAGAGAGACCAAAATAATTGGTAAACACCAGGGACTGCAAGATTGCATCATTCTCCTAAAAACCTCCTAATGATATGGTGACATCGCTTTACAATACCAAAAGGTCTACAAACACCAAATGCATCCCAAATCTCTTTTGTCCCAGCTCCACACAGCAGACCAGAGAACTTCCCCTTATGGACTGAACACACTTTCCCTTGCACCATTCATCAGAGCTGTGGATTTGCAATATACATCAGTGTTGGACAAAGGCCTACCAACAGTGTTTGAGATACTTTTCTATTACATTTCACATTTTTATTTATTACCACAATAAAAAAAGACTTATGACTAGCAGGAAAATCTTAGTTCAGTCAATGGCAGTACAGGGGAAGTTGCTCTGTAAGGATGTCGTTCCATATGTTGTGCCAGTGGGTCACCGTGTTAATCACAACACAGCCAATTTGCTTTTCACACATTTGACTTTAAAAGGGTGATAACAAATAAATACTTTCAGCGTCTCACAGCAATGGATGTGTAATCCTGCAGAAACTGTACAACTAGTTCACAACAAGATTTATGAGCTTGATTCTGTTTTTATGACCATTCCTTAGGGGGAAGAGAGTATTTTCAAAATGTAGCTGTTTAGTGAAGCTGAAATGAACTGCACGATCAAAAAGAGACAGTGTTATGTAAATATTGAGGGGGTTTGTATTTAAAA